TGTTAATGGCTGTAGAGTATCATCATACAGTTGGTTGTTTGCATTTATTTTCAGTCAGTTCAAAGGCGACAGGGTTTTGAACTGGATGGTGAAACACACACACACACACCCATGGCACCATCTTCATACACCTTATATATGTTTTCCATAACATGTGAAGCTGGAGACATGGTTGATAGCTTAAGCCATGACCGTTTAATATGGTGAGACATTATTAGTAATAAGGATGGATGAGCACATGCTGTGCCAAAGATGTGTTCTATACACTACACGCTGGGATCTGGCACTGGAGAAAGTGGCTTCTTGATTTTAGTTGAAGTGACATGGCCATTTGAATCATGTGACTGGGATACAATTTAATGTTGTCCAAATGATTAAATGTCTAACTCATGGAATATTATTTATTATGTGAAAATGAAATTTATTCCTTCAGATTAATTCTTTAAATAATAATGCATTCAAACAGATTCCACTCACTAATTTGTAGCTTTCTTTGAGCAGGACAAGTGGTTCATTCAAATTTGTTTTGATAAAGAAGCAGAGTATTTGATTATTGTGGCTCCGTGTTTCTCTGATGGTTATTGGACCCCTATGTTTTAGCCTCTTAAACAGCAATTAATACTTAAGTTCTTAAATCACAAAAGGCTTACAGTAAGCAATCAAGGTTTAAGGAATATGAATGTTGATGAAGCACCAGGAACACCAATGGCAATAGAAGGCTTCCTCTTTAAAATAACACTGTCAAGAAGATTTGGAGTTAGCCTTACCGAGATTCCATTGTACAAAACAATGGTAAGGCCACACCTGGAGTATTGAATACAGTTCTGGTTGCTGCACCTCAAAAAAAGACATAGTGGAACTGGAAACGGTGTAGAAGAGAGTGACTAAAATGATGACTGGGCTGGGGCACCTCCCTTATGAGGAAAGGCTAGAGCGTTTGGGGCTCTTTAGTCTACAGAAAAGGCACCTGAGGGGAGACCTACTGAGACGTATAAAATTATGCAGGGGATGGATAAAGTGGATAGAGAGAAGATCTTTTCCCAGAACTAGGGGACATCCACTCAAACTGAGTGTTGGGAGAGTGAAAACAGACAAAAGAAAATATTTATTTACCCAGTGTTGTTAGTCTGTGGAACTCCTTGCCGCAGGAGGTGGTGATGGCATCTGGTCTAGATGCCTTTAAAAGGGGATTGGATAGATTTCTGGAGAAAAAGTCCATTGCAGGTCATAAGCCATGATGGGGATGTATAATCTCCAGGCTTAGAAGGCCCTCCAAATGCCAAATGCAGGGGAGGGGTATCAGGAGAGAGGTATCTAGTTGTCTCGTGTGCTCCCAGAGGCATCTGGTGGGGCCCCTGTGAGATACAGGGAGCTGGGCTAGAGGGGCCCTTGGCCTCCAGCTGCTGCACCTGGCCTGACATCTTTCAAATGATATAAATGGATGCACCACAATTCCCTACATTGCACATTTTAGGTAAGGCTACATTTGAAGACTTGTTCTCTTAAGAGATCTTCTCTTTCATGGCAAGAGAACAAATCATGAAACTGTGGCACCTCCCAGATCAAAAGGAGTCCACATCTCATCTTCGGTCTTGGGAAACTTGAGAAAACAGAAATTGGGGCAAGGGCTGGGTGAAACCCAGAGATTTGCAGCTGATAATGCCCAAGTCAAACCCCTTAACAACTTACTATGCAAATGCAATGTTTTCTTGGAATTGGGCTAATTACCAGGCAGGAGACCTTAGCACAAGCCTGGGGAACCTGCCCCCCTTCAAATGCTGTTGCTTCAACTTCCATCAACCCCAGGCAACAGGATCAATGGTCAAGGAGGATGGAGTTTGTAGTCCAACATCCGGGGAGACAGAGGTTCCTTGCCCTTGACGTAACATGTTTACTTTGAAATACATTCAAGTAACTAAAATATCTATATATTGTACACCGTTTTGGCAGGCCTGGTATAAATACATGCCATTACAGCCACTGGAACTTATTTCCTAATAAATGATATATAAAAAATGATTGCTCCTTTGCTACCAGTGACCAAAGATGGTCTGTTTCCTGTGTTTTGATTTTATACTGTTCCACCACAAGGATCCACATTCTAAAATTAGCTATGAAGGATTTCAAAATTAATGCCCACTGTGCATCTACTGTTGGAAGAAAGCAAAAGGAAAAAAAATAAGAAATAGGTAAACAGAGTCACTTGCTGTTAAACTGAGTAATCCAGTGGAGAAGCTGACAGCATCGAAGTCAGGAAATCCAAAAGGTAAATGTCTTCAGTAGTATTATCATGGCTGTACTGCTCATTCATGAATCTATCGGGCAGGCTTATTGCTGAGGAAGGAGGCCAGAAAAATGACCGTATTCTAGTGCAGAATTTTGGATACTTGACTGCAGTCCAGGACACACTTACTTTGAAGTAAATCTCGCCACACTCAGTGGAGCTGGCCTTTAGCAGATAACGCACAGGATTACCCTGTGAATTCCATGGGAGCTTAAGAGTGTCTCGGCTGTCCTAGCTTCAACATGGGTTTAAAAGAATACAGAAACTTCAGCCAAAGTTTCTGCTGTGCCTATTAAGGAAAATGGCAATTAAAAGAAAGAATGGTGCAAACGACTGCAATTTTTCAATTGTGAGGGTGGCGGAATGCATCCCTGATCGGCAGACACTACACATTAATGCTTCCCTGATCCTAGGACTGTCTTCTGCAATATCCCAGGTTTTAGGCAAGCGAGTTAAAACCTTACATGCCTGGAATAAAACCCAGAAGTACTGATGTCTGATAAAAGTAAAAGGAACTACTCTGTCCATTTTAATTAATATTCTTTATTAAAAATTAAGTGGGTATGGGTGGTGGGGATTTGAACTGACAGGGAAAAAGGAGGCAAGAGGTTTATTTCTGAAGGAAATGACAGCCCAACATCCGGAAAAACCACAAGCTAATGAGTGCTAACACATTTTACGACAACTCTCTTGTACAGAATAGCAGAGGTGAGCAGACTTCAGGCCTCTGGGATCTGCTTAGGACTTTTTTAGCTGAGGTCCAACCAAAGCCAGTTGCAAAATCAGTGGTGCTGGGGAGAGGAGGGATAAAAATGAAATAATAAGAGGTCTGGTACAAGAAATTGATTTTTGCACCAGAACAGAACTCACCGTCTTTTTACACAGCCCCTTCACAGTTCCTACCACTTCGGCTTTCTTGGTTTTAGGACAAACACACACACCTGTTACCTCAATGTTGTTCTTATGTAAAAGGACTGGAATCACACAGCCCTGGCTATTTTATTGCAAACTATCCAGAGAGCTACCTTTTCCTCTCTCCTAACCCCTGTGCATATGGGATGGATATAAAAATAGATACAGTGGTGCCTCGCTTAATGATAACCTCGTTAAACAACAAATCTGCTTTACGATGTTCCTATGGGGAAAATTCACATAACACTGATCGGTTCCCTGCTTCGGGAACCAATTTTTCGCTTAACGACGATCAAAAACAGCTGATCGTCGGGTTTCAAAATGGCCGCCTGCTGTGCAAAATGGCTCCCCACTGTGCTTTAGGACAGATTCTTCTCATTACAGGCAGCGGAAAATAGCTGCCCTATGGAGGATCTTCGTTGGACGCTGAGGTATTTCGCCCATTGGAATGCATTGAACGGTTTTCAAGGCATTTCAATGAGTTTTTTAATTTCACTTGACGACGATTTCGCTTAACGATTTTAACGGAACACATTATCGTCGTCAAGCGAGGAACCACTGTATATCTAATTCCAAACTACAACTTGTCCCCCAAGGTTAACAAAGGCAATTATCTTGGCTCTCCAGAGACATATTATGTACAAGATACTAGCCATAAACAATATTTTCCCGTTCTTTGCAGGCTATTCTCTTTAGTTGCTGCTTTTTTTAATTGGGTGCATTGTTTTTTGTTATTTACTGCTCATTAATATGGCATGGGCAACAAGAGGATCACCCAAAAAGAGCCCAGGTGTCATACTTAAATATTTCATTGGTCATTACAGTAATATTTTTTTTTTGGCTTGTTGCTATTTTGTACCAGCAGAAAAAGCTGGAGAGATTCTTGTGGAAGGGAAAGGACTTTCACATCACATGCCCCAGCCCTCTTCCCAGATACTTGAAACAGTATGTATTGAGGTTCACCCCACACTTCTCTGGACTACAATTCAGGCAGCAGGGTTGACTCTGCTATTGAGCAGAAAGAAGCAGCTGTCTCAGACACCAGAGGACACTGAGGTGGGTGGCTAAGCACCGGAGACAAGGAGTTAGGAGACAGAATAGTGTGTGCTATATAGCCAGCTCTGCTTTCCCTCAGCTAGCCTGCTGACCTCAAATGCTGTGGGGATGATGACTTATCATTGAAGTATGATCCAACTGCCATCCAATCCATTTTTGTTCATGGAATTTTGTGCACAGAGTCGTGACAAACATCTTCTCTTTTGCTTCAGGCCGGAATAATATTTTGGGCCAAGCGGATCTGGGATATACATTAGATTAAAGACACAGGAACTCATCTCAGGCTACTCATAATGTGTGGGGATTTGAACCAAGACCTCCCTGGTTCAAATCACTAATTACTACATGACACCAGGTACTGTATCTGCTGCAGTGCTGTAAAACTGGACAACCTGCTACCTGGACCATATATTTTGTGTGAGTCCCCAGCAGCACACTCAAACAAGGCTAAGCAAGATCCCGCTGGAACAGCCTTCTTTATAATCTAGAGTCCTCCAGATTGCTTGTGGTGATGGGGTAATACAACACATCGGGAAGACTCCAGGACAGGAAAGTCTGATTCGCAATGTTAGGTTACAATATCTGGCAGCAGGTGTGAATGAAGGAGGCGCCGGATGGTGCTGGAGTTCTGGATTCTAGAAGATGTAATCTGAGAAAGGAATAAGCTCTCTCCTCCCGCAGTTGCCAAAACAGAGCAAATAAGGAAAAAAGGCATGGAGCTTAAAGAAATACACCAACAGGCATGGTATTAACTTAAAAAATAGAAGCAGCTCCTTCCCTTTATTAGAAGGCAAACCCAAAGAATGCGTCAATACTACATTTGCAGGAGGGAACTTGGGGCATGTGTGGTCGCCATTTCTCTTTTCCCGCCAAGAGCCGGTCCTTCGCATCCATTCTCTTTTCTCTTAACATCGGGTCAAGCAACTGTGGTCAAATGACAAGGGCTGGGATGAAGAATCAAAAGCAGCGGATTTCTTACTGGATCCATTCTGAGGGCTGCAAAAAAAGCAAGGAAAAGGAAAAAAGAAAGTTAGACAAGTCCACCATCTGCTGGTGGAACCTGGAAGGGACGTCAATTTGAAGCTGACAGCAAAGAGTCTTCCTTAGACACAGGACACGTAATCCACAGCCGGCAGCCTACAGACTCATTTTACACATGGGTGTCAAAAGAAAATGCAGTGGCTCAATTTAAACAGCACAGAAATTTTAAAAAAAACAATTCAAATCAATTAGCACTTTCGAGGCCTATAAAATTACCACTGTAACCTTTTGTGACAGCAGCAGTTTGTGATGATGGAAGCATCTTACCATTGCAGAGTAAATTAAAAATTGTGGCGCAGGGTTGGAGAACCTGTGGCTCTCGGTGATGTGGGACTTCCACTCATATTGTCCTTCATGACTGGAAATGCTGGCCAAGGTAAGAGGGAGTTGCAGTCCAACAACATTTGCAAGGCCACAGGTTGCCCTCTTCTTCCTTAAAAGGTAAAGGTTCCCCTTGACAATTTTTTGTCCAGTCGTGTTCGACTCGAGGGGGCAGTGCTCATCCCTGTTTCCTAGCCAGCGTTTTGACCGAAGACAATCTTCCGTGGTCACATGGCCAGTGCGACTTAGACACGGAACGCTGTTACCTTCCCACCGAGGTGGTCCCTATTTATCTACTTGCATTTGCATGCTTTCGAACCACTAGGTTGGCGGGAGCTGGGACAAGCGACGAACGCTCACTTCGTCGTGTGGATTCAATATGACTGCTTGGTCTTCTGACCCTGCAGTACAGGCTTCTGCGGTTTAGCCCGCAGCGCCACCACGTTCCTTAACTTCTTCCTTAGTGGGTCATAAAACCATGGCCTCTGTGCAGACCAAAAAGAACAGAACTGAACTTCTTAATAAGTGTTAGGCGAGCAGCTTCATGAAAAAAGGGCATGAAATTCCCGGTTTAAACAGGGCTGCCATTAGATCAGTAATAACAAGATGCCTTCTACTGATGTCTTAGTGTTGCCTCTTCTGATGCCAACATTAAGCAAATGCTGCTGTTTAAGGCCCTTGATGATTCATTTCAGGCTGCCATAATCCAAGCCCTTTCTGCAGCTGATTGAAGCCACTGAATGGGACTTCTAGTCCAAAATATCTGGTGAGCAATGTTGCTTCCTCCATTTCTATAGCTCCCAATTGATACAAAAATGGGAAAAGAAAAAAGATCAGACGTTTCCAAAGACCCAGGTAGGTGTTCAGAGCTCTCTCCTGTCTGTTGTTGTTCGAAGCACGTATTTCGTGAGCTTTGCTTTCTAGCTAATTGCACTGATCATGAAATGAACGGCCACATGGGTCCCAGGGGATGGGAATACCTCTTGAGAGAATGAGTTGTTCAGTTCCTTTAAAAAGAGTGGGTTATGCAGCCATGACAAACAAAACAGCTTGTTGCTATTATTTCTTTTCTTGGCAAGTCACCAGATGTTGTACGACACAAGGCACCCTTTGTTAAGAGAATTTCTAGATCTGTTCAGACTGTCTTTCAGGTCTGGACACATACCAGGATCTTGTCCCCAAGGCTGCTTTGATCACCGGATGCCTTATGCATCTCACTGCCCAGTCAGATCTCCAAAAGAGGATCTCTGTTGGGGAGCCCCAGTGCCTGAGGGACAGCATCTACCATGGACAGGGCTTTCCCCATAGGAAGACCCCAGTGGTAACATTCTGTCACTAAAGCTGTCTGTTCAATGCCTGCCTCGTTCCTTTTTTGACACCAAGCACAGACCTTTCTCTTTGCTTACGCCTTTCAGATTTGACTTTGGCCATACTGTTTGTTTTTACTGAGCTGTTAAGTTTATGCTACCTTTTCTCATTTGTCTTGTTCTTTTCCAGTACAGTTTTTCTTATTCTGTTGGGGCCTAAACTCCTTATTTGCCACAGGGATAAGAAATACAGCCTTCCAGATGATGCAGGGCCGCTGCTCCCATCAGCCCTTGCCAGGCTGATGGGATTATGTGTACTGGAATCCAAAAATGGCCGGTGAGGTGCATATTTCCTATTCCTGCTTTGAAGTGACATTCTACCGAGAATTTATTGGGTTGAGAGGGTAATCAATGAAAAATTGCTAAATGAAATCATAAAAAAGAAATCATAAAATTACAGAGAACCACAATACTTTAACTACACAATGGAAAATCCAACATTCAGATTATCACTGTAGATCATTCAAGACACAATAAATCTGGAAAGAATTGCAGGAACTAGAATAACTTATTGGTAGAGACAGGATTTTTCTAACCTGATTCCAGCATTGTAAGTGAACACATCTCAAGGGCACCAAGCTGGGGAAAGCTGTAATCCTGTTTTAGATATTTTTGGGCAACTGACCTTTCCTGCAGCACAGTAGCCCCAACAAGTCCATCCTTCCTCGGCGGTTACTTCTCTCCAATGTAGGAGGCGGTCTTCCCCGTTTTCTTCAGTGTATCCAACAAGGTGTCAACACTGTGGTCTGACTCAATGCTCACTTTCTTGCTGGGTAGGTCAATTTCAAACTGAACCCCTGAGGAGCGAGATACAATGTATCAAAGTAGCATTGAGAAAAAGAAACAATTAATAATAATAATAATAGTAGTAGTAGTAGTTAGTAGTAGTAGTAGTAGTTGTTGTTGTTGTGTGCCATCAGGCCAATCCTGACATATGGCAACTCTTTCTAAAGTTTTCTAAGTATAGCATACTCAGAAGCAGCTTACTAGTTTTCTTCTTCTCAGAGTTTTCTATTGCTGTGTACCTTGTCCAAGGCCACCCACGAAGGAACAAAGAGGAATCAAACTCAAACTCAGCCAGGCACCCAACTTAGGGTTTGTCTACACTGGTCATTTTGGAGTGAGCTAGTGTGGGCTAAAGACGATTGGGGTGGAGGTGTGATATGCCATTTGGTGCGATCCTCACATCCAATGAACATACTTGAGTCTGGCTCCTTTTCTTTGTCTTGGCTGAATGGCAGTTTCTCAACTGACCCTTCAAGACAAAGCGAAGAGAGTTTCTAATGTTTACATAAGTGATGCAGTGCATCAGTGATGGTCTGACACTCTAACCGCTACATCACACGGGTTCTCATTCCTTTTTACTGCTCGCAAAACAAGGACCAGCAAATACGGTTCTAATTAGCTGTTGCTATGAGTTGATTCCCCCTGAGGTTCCACACAAACATTAAACAGGCCAGCAAGCCACACACCCCTTCCCTGCCACTGCATCCTACTGCTGTCAAAGGCATCTATCCTGAAATGGCAAGATGCCCCTGCCTTGTTTCATTTTTTTCAATAAAGGAAAACTGGACCACTGCAGCTGGTCATTGCTCTGCTCAGTCAGCTGCCTTTTACTGTTCCTCAGTTTTTCTTCTTTTTCATTTCTGTACACCTCTTGCCATCTTGCTAACACCCTCCCCTTTTGAGAACCAATCAATCAACCCACACAGAGCCCCCCCCTGCTTATTTGCTAGTGCTTCCTTCTTCCTGCCTTCTGGTTCTGCTGTGACTGATTCTCTTTTTCCCTTGCTGAATCACTCAGGCCTAGAAACCTGAGCTGCAGCTACGGAAGCTTGTCAAGCTTCCCCCTCTCTTGGGATATTGAGCTAGAAATATTACTCAAGGCTCCCTTTTCTACAGTAGCTTGAATTCTTTGTCACATTCCCTCCACAAGATATCCTAAGAATTCCCATGCAAATCTGTACTTTTTTTAAAAGAAAGATTCACTGGAATCAAGAAAAGGTTACTTTGGGCCCAAATTGATTTTATGGAGGCCATTTCTACACACAAGGTAGCTTCTACTTTTGCCCTTCTTTCCTACTGAGTGCTGTATAAATCTCTAAAGCAACGGTCCCCAAAACTGGACTGTGGGCCCAGCCAATGCCTTGCCCCCCCCCCCAGCAGGTGCAAATGGGCCATCCAACCTAAGCAACCTCACAGACTGGGGCAGTGATCCTGGGATGGAAGGATTAACCGGGGCGTGTGGGTTGGCGGAGCCAAGGGGTGTTGCTTAAGAGGCCTGTCTATATAAAGACACCGGCTCCAGGGGGGAGGACTTCTGGGAGGCCAGTGATACGGAAGTGAACATAATGCAACTCCATAGAACACAACTGGGAGGCCCATCAGGCAGTGGGACCCATGGACCAGCCAGATGCTACAAGATGCTACAAGTGGAAGCATCCAAGTTGTGTCAGGACGACGTGAGATGCCAAGAGGTTTGGAGAGAGGCACAGAAGCACTGAAAACGGAGACGCCGGTGGAAGCCCCAGAATGAGCTAGGGGCCCAAGAGCCCCTGCTTAGACTCCTGGTTCCTGCATCCCATCATGTCCCAAACTCACTGCCAACATTGCCAACCTCCCAAGCAAGCTTCCCATCAGAATTCATGCAGCTGAAGATAAGAGCATAACAGTACCAGGGCGGGGGCTAGACACTCCACAGGACATGGTGGTCCCTCCCTCCACGCTGGCCTGAATGCTGAGACCACCCATGACCAGAGATACATCACCCTAGCCATTCAATAGCCCTGCTGCAACACCCCTGGCCAAGCACACCTCCACACAGTCCTGGATCTCATGGAGAAAGTGTTTTCTCCCCCTCCTCAAGAGCACCCACGAGACTCGCCTGTCCAAGGATTGTTATTAGGAGACAAGTGTCCCAAAGCTGCATGTTTGTAGACACTCCTGTTGGCCACCCATTCTTACCCTAGTTCAGTGGACAAGCATTAAGTCAACGCAACTACTTGGTGATGGGTCCTCAAAGATTATTGGTCTAAAATTCCCAGGATCCCTGACCAATGGCCATCCTGGCCGATCCCCAACCTTTTTGGGAACTGTAGACCATTTGGGGGGTGCGGTCTCCGTGTGATGACTGGTTGGGGGGTGGGGGCATGCTTGCGGAGGGGTGTGTCATGCTTGCAGCGGGGAGTGTCACTGGCATGGATACAGGCTGGTGCCCTAATAATCAGTCAGGAGGTAGTGGGTAGAGAAGATATCACTGGGATGATTACAAGCTGGCCCCACCAATCATGTGCCAAGAGGCGAAGGTGGGAGGGATTAAAATCCCCCCCCCCAATAATGAACCAGGAAGTAAGGGGCAGGTGGATTGACACTGATAGGGATTCAAGCTGGCCCTCCAATAATAAGCCACAAATTTAGTATTGTAGAAGGGACCCAAGTTGCCCAATCATGAGTAAAAACAGAAGGGAGAGTCCAAGTGCAAACTCAACATTACCCAACCAGGAAGGAGAGCAGGAAGATGGACAGCGAAAGGGCCAGGCCTTGAACTGTGTAGAGTTCTGTAGAATTGTGTAGAGTTGTGTCAGATGGACAACAGACTACAGGATCCCTAGAAAGCAGCGACTAAGAATTATTGCCTGCAGTATAACTTTACACAGCTCTAGTCACTCACCTTACCAGTAATCGTGAGCTAAGCAGGGGGAAGAGGAAGTAATGTGAGGCCATCCTACAGATTAATAAACAGAAGTGTTCTTTGGCTGCCTCCTATGGTTCTCTCAGACAGTGGGGTGGGTGGACATTTAAATGATAGGTAGATGTCATGGGGGCACTCTGACTGCATCAGGTGCAATAGGAGGGCCTTAGCCTTCTATGGTGCAGACTGGTGTTGCAATGGGTTTCATGGCAGCTTCAGAAAGGACTTGCATTTGGGGGAAATAGCACACTGTACCTTTGACAGGCATCTCCCTCTTAATTGTGAGAGTCTGATTCAGCTAGCCTAAGGCCAGCCTGGCTAGTTAGGATTGTGCCCTAAGTCAGGATGAGAAAAAGAAAGATTTATTTTAGTGCTAACATTTTCTGAATTTGGACCAGGGTTCTGTGACATAAATAGTGCTTTGAATGGCAA